GGGGCATATGGATTCTCTCTAATGGTTATAGCCAGTTTTTTAGCCCTGAATGTCTCAGAAAACGACACTTTGTAAAGGGGATGGGGAGATCAATGACTGCGTGGCTCCACATTAATTAGAATTTTTTAGATATTTTCAGTCCCTGGAAACAACCTCTGCTCCTGACATAGTTTATTGTGCCAACCTGGCCAATAAACACATGTGGAGTTAATTGAAGGGTGGAGGGATAAATGGCTCAGTGAGCCTCGCCTATCAAATGCTGGGGTCTCTTGCTTTCTGATGGTTGGACCAGGGTGCAGCTGCCTTAGTCAGTTCCCTGCTTTAGCTGGCAAGGCTCACTTCCTGCCAGACGTCCCTGAGGAGAAGCCTCATGGACCTACCCCGATGCAGCCCTGGGTGCTGGAGCAGCCGTGTGGAGACCCCTGCCAGTGCTGAGATACTTACACATTCATTGATTGTGCTTTCCTCCTGCAGTCGGCATCATTGCGTCTGTTTTGTGAGATGGAGGAAGACTTTGTGGATTGGTGTTGGACATATGGGTTAATGGGTTAATGTTGGACTTGTGGGCTTGGGCAGCACTGGGTTGAGATGTTTTCTTGATGCACACTTAACCTCTGCATAAAACTCTCTCTTACACATGAGTTTCTGTGGATTTGTTTCTCTAAAGTACCCAGACTAATACAGCTTCCTAAGAGAGTTCAGACCCTGAGTGAGGAAAAATTAAATGTGCATGGGAGAATTTGCCAACATTTCAGTGTGGGAAGTACAAGACAGAAACACACGCACAAGTAAACAATGAGGTCAATTGTATATTTTCAAATAAAAAGTACATTGTGAATATTTTGCTAAACAGACACATTCATGTGAATTTAAAAAAAATATATGTACTGTTTTTTTACTAGGCATTATAGCGTATTCCTCTCAACAAATGTGACGTGCCATCAAGTTGTTTCTGGCCCATAGTGAACCTATGCACAACAGAAAGAAAGAAACACTGCCTGGTCCTATGCCATCCTCACAATTGTTCCTATTCCTGAGCCCATTGATGCAGCAACTGTGCCAATCAATCTTGTTGAGGAAGGGTCTCCCTGCCTTTGGACCCCCTTCCAATTTAACAAATATGATGTCCTTCTATAGGGACTGGTCTCTCCTGACAACATGTCTACAGTTTGTAGTGGAAGTCTTGCTATCTTTGCCTCTAAGGAGCACTCTAGCCTGATTTCTTCCAGGCATACATCTATTTTTCCTTTTAGCAGCCTGTGGGACTTTCAACATTCTTCTCCAGCACCCCAATTCAACTGTATTGATTCTTCTCCACTTTTCCTTATTCAATATCCAACATTCACAGGCATGTAATGCAGTGGAGATTACCATGACTGGATTCAGGCACACCTCAGTCCTCAAAGTAACATCCTTGCTCTCCAATACTCTGAAGAGATCTTATGTGCCAGATTTGTGTAATGCAATACGCCTTTTACCTTTTGACATTTGATGCCATGAGCATTGATTGTGGATCCAAGTAAGACAAAATCCTTGTCAAATACAACCTTTTCTCCATTGATCATGTTGTTATATATAGGTCTAGTTGTGAGGATTTTCTTCTTCTTGACACTGAGTTATAATCCACTCAGAAGGCTACGATCCATGATTTTCATCAAGCGCTCCAATTCATTCTCAATTTGAGTAAGCAAGGCCATTTCATCTGCATATAGCAGGTTGTTAATAGGCCTTCCTCATATTCTGATTTCACATTCTTCTTCATAAAATCCAGCTTCTCTGATGATTTTTTCAGCATAGAGATTGAACAAGGATGGTAACAGGATACCACGCTGACATACACCTTTCCTGATTTTAAAACATGCAGTATTCCCTCGTTCTGTTCCCACAACTTCCTCTTGATCCACATACAAGTTTCACATGAACACAAGGAAGAGTTTTGAAATTTCCTTTCTTCTCCAGGTTATACATAATTTATTGTGGCCCCAGAGTCAAATGCCTTTGCATCATCAATGAAACACAAGTATACGTCTTTCTGATATTCTCTACTTTGAGCAAAGATCCATCTGACATTAGCAATAATATCCTTGCTTGCAAGTCCTTTTCTGAATCCAGCCTGAACTACTGGCAGTTCTCTGTCAATGTAGCGATGCAACCATTGTTGGATGACCTTAAGCAAAAATTTACTGCCATTTGATCTCAATGATCTCGCTCTTAATTTGAGCACTGTCTTGGATCACCTTTCTTTGGAATGGGCACAAATATGGATCTCTTCCAGTCAGTTGTTCAAGTAGCTGTCTTCCAAAATTCCTGGCAAAGACAAGCGAGTGCTCTCTGCTATTTTTGCCTGCTGAGACATTTCAATGGGTATTCCATCAATTCCTGAAGCTTTTTGTGACTATTGCCTTCAGTGCAGTTTGAACTTCTTCCTTTAGCAACATTGGTTCTTGATTATATGTTACCTGCTGAAATAGTTCAACGTCCACTACTTATTTGAGGTACGTTGTCTCTGTAAATTGTTCCGTCTTCTATTGACATTTCCCAAATCATTCAATATCTTGCTACACAATCTTTTAAGATTCCAACTTGCGCCTTGAATTTTTTCTGAGTTCCTTCAGTTTCAGGCATGCTGAGCATGCTATTTCCCTTTGGTTTTCTTCATCTATGTGCTTGTACATTTTGTTATAAATTTTGAATTTATCTTTTCATGCTGCCACATGCAATTTTCTGCTGGGCTCCTTGATTTCAGTTTTTCTTCCATTTGTTTATCAACATAGCTACTTTCCAGTTCAGGGCAAATTTTCGATGGTATTCTGACACACATTTTGATCTTTTCTTTCTCTCCTGTCTTTTTATTACCTTTGCTTTGGTCATGAATGATGGTCTTGATGTCCTCCTACAGCTCATCAGGTCTTCTGTCATTTAGTGTTCAATGTGTCCTACCTGTTTGGGGGATCTTCCAGATATTCAGGTGGGATAGACTCAAGGTTGTATTTTGGCTCTTGGTGACTTATTTCCATTTTTCATCTTTATCCTAAACTTACCAAAGAGCAATTGTTGATTTGTTCCACAATTGGTCGTTGGTCTTGTTTTAAGTGCTAATATTGAGCTTCTCTATTATGTCTTCCCTCAGATGTAGTCAATTTTCTTTTTGTGCATTCCATATGGAAAGTCCAGGCATACAGTCACCTTTTGTGTTGTTGAGAACAGTTATTTGCTAGGAACAAGTCATTGATTTTGTAAATTTTATTGGGAAACCTCCAGCTTAATTTCAGTCACCAAGTCCATATTGTGCAGCTACTGCTCCTTCCTCTTTGGTTCCAATTTTTACATTCTAATCACCAATACCTATCAATTCATCTTGAACGCATGTCTGATCCATTTCAAGCTGAAGTCACTGGTAGAATTCTTAAATTTCTTCATCACTAGCTTTTGTGCTTGATCCATCAAGTAGAATAATAGTAGTATTGACTGGATTACCTTAAAGGTGATAGATATACTCCTATCAAAAAAGGCATTGTACTTCATGGCTGATTTTGCAATGCCCTTTCTGACAATGAATGGCCCACCAGTCCTCTTGATTGTGTTCTTCCCACCAAAGTAAATAATATGTTTTCATGATTCAATATGGCCAATTCCAGTCCATTTCAGTTCACTAATTCCTAAGATATTGATCTTCATGCATTCCATCAGATTTTTGGCCACTTCCAACTTTCCTACATTCATACTTCACACATTCCAAATTCCAATCATTAAGAGATTTTTGCAACCACTCAAGGTGAAGAGAAACAACTACAAAAATACTCTTAACCAATATGCCTAATGAAAAATAATAATATCAAATGCTGCTGGAGAATAATGGTGGCTCCTCAGCTCTAGAATCCCCTCCTTTGGAACTCTGCTCTCTGAGCAGGGGTTACAAGTGTGGCAGTACATACATGACTGGTGACTGTATCTGACCTCCTTTGACATCACAAGGGTGAAAAAGGATCAAACTCATCAGCCCAATGCCATTTCCAATGTTGCAGAAGTTTGACATGCCTCCATCCTTGGACCATTTCTAACCGAACTTAATACCAACAGTATTACTCCTCCTGCCCCCTTCAGGGCACTCAGACTTTATGTGGGGTGCAAAAATCTGTAACTGT